AGTTGGCACAAAAAGAAAAGATTAGATACGCATATTGGTAAGTCAAACAGTGTTCACAATCAGGCAAAGAAGAAGTGTGAAGATCTAATGCGACAAGAACAATCAATTCAAGCCGCATTTGTTAAGCTATCAAATCAAACCAAGCTTGAGCACAAAATTCGCTTAAAGGCTTCAATTGAAGTGGCGAGACTTCTCTTGAATCAAGGATTGGCATTTCGTGGACATCGTGAAGATGAATCATCGCTAAACAAAGGTAACTTTCTTGAAATTCTTTCATGGTATGCGAAGCGGTGTGATAAAATTGGTGAACTTGTGTTGAAAAAGGCTCCAAAAAATGACCAGATGACTTCTCATAAAATTCAAAAAGATATAGTCACTGCATGTAAGCTTGAAACAATTAAAGCTATTATGGAGGATCTAAACGGTGACTATTTTTCATTGTTAGTTGATGAATCTTGTGATATATCACGTAAGGAGCAAATGGCAATTGTTTTGCGTTATGTTGATAGAAAGGGGTCTGTGGTGGAACGGTTCATAGGAATTATTCATGTTCATGATACTAGTGCTTTATGTTTGAAAGAAGCTATTGTTAACTATCTTGCGCAACATTCTTTGAGTTTATCTTTTATACGAGGGCAATGCTATGATGGAGCTAGCAATATGCAAGGGCGTTTAAGTGGCCTTAAAGTTTTGATTCAACAAGAAAGTAAATCAGCTCATGCAATTCATTGTTTTGCTCACCAACTTCAGTTAACTCTTGTTGGGGTATCTAAAAAATGCCTTCAAGTTGGAGAACTTGTATTGTTGGTTTCTAATGTCTTAAATGTAGTGGGAGGTTCTTTTAAACGTATGGATGAACTTCGAGAATCTCAAGCAAAAAAAGTTCAAGTGGCACTTGATATGGGTGAGGTTGAAAGTGGTAAGGGATTGAATCAAGAACTTGGTCTTGCTAGAGCTGCCAATACTCGGTGGGGTTCACATTACAAATCTTTTAAGAACTTCATTAGTATGTTTGGCTCTATTACTGATGTTCTTGATACTATTGTTGTTGATTCTGAATCTGTTGAAGAAAAAGCTAAGGCAACCGGATATCTTAAAGTTTGTCAAACATTTGAGATTGCTTTCATATTGCATTTAATGAGAGATATTTTAGCGATCACAAATGAGCTTAATGAGTCTTTACAAAAGAAAGAACAAGATATTGCAAATGCCATTCTACTTGTTAAAGTGGTGAAGAAACGATTGCAAGATTTAAGGAATGAAGGATGGGATTCACTTGTCGAGAATGTGTTCGCATGTTGTGTCAAGTATGATATTTTGATACCTAATTTTGATGAGTTCTATGTTAATTTTGGAAGATCTCGACGTAAAGTTGCTGAGTATACTATTTCACATCACTATCGTGTGGAAGTATTTTTTAAGATTATTGATTGGCAGCTTCAAGAACTCAATGATCGTTTTAATGAGGTTAGAACAAATTTGCTTGTTGGAGTTGTTTGCTTGAATCCAGTTGACTCATTTTCTAGTTTTGACATCAAGAACATATTGAGAATGGCTGAATTATATCCTGATGATTTTGGTGAAAATGTAATGGTTACTCTTAGGAATCAGCTAGAGACTTATATAGTTGATGTCCGTGATGTTGATAAAAGGTTCTCCAACTTAAAAGGGCTTGGCGATCTTTCTGAAATGCTAGTTAAGGTAAAGAAGCATTTAAACTATCCTCTTGTGTTTCGCCTTATAAAATTTGTGTTGCTCCTGCCGGTTGCTACTACTACAGTTGAAAGAGCTTTCTGGGCAATGAAGTTGATCAAGAGTGAATTGCGAAATCGAATGGATGATGATTTTCTGAGTAGTTGTATGGTGCCTTATGTAGAGAAAAGAATATTTAATACTATTTCTGATGAGAGTATTATGAATAGGTTTCAAGAAATGAAAACTCGTAGAATAGAATTGTAATGATATATTTTAATTAATCAAAATTTGTTTTGTTTGCATTTTTTGCTTATTTATTTTTTATATCTTGAACCCACTTCGTGAAAATCCTGGGTCCGCCACTGCTGCTAAGAGCAAAAAGTTGTAGCTCATGATCCTCAACTCACATTCACATGCCTAAATTATATTTGTCGACAATGGTCACATTCACATGCTTAAATTATGTTTGTCGATGGATGAGAGCCCAAAATATTAGCACCGAGTTGTAGGGTTGAAGTACTTATATATTTGTTTTTGTGATCACCATTTAAAATGTATTCATAGCACATAAACTTTTTTGATATATTTATCTATTTCGAAATAATTTTAGATATGTTATGTCAAAAATTGACCTAAATTTCAATCATATGTAACTTTAGATACCACATGTCTAAAATTATTTTGGAATGGACACTGAAAATCTGTAGATTGCTTTTTTCTTATAAAATATGTACAAATTAAATAATGATATCTAAAAAGGTAATCATAAATGTTGTGGTCCTTACTCACGTTAATAAGCCCAAATTGTAATCTTCCGAGTTAAATAGAACCAATGGGTAGATACTTCTTTGGACCACCAAATGTCCAAGCCTGCAAATTAAATTACTTGCACAACACATAGACCATGCATATTGAACAAGCTTGGTGAGAATATTACACTTAAATAGAGAAGATTAGTTCACATTAATAGCATCCCATACTTAAAAATATTGTTAATGACTTTTATAACATCAAAGTGAAGTTACTACTCTCTCCATTTCATATTATCTCTCACATTTTCTTTTTACACACTTTTTAGAGAAATTACAAAAAAAGAAGTATATGTATGTACCTTATTCATCAATATCAAAAACTTCCTATGTTTCATATTACCTCCTTATATCAAAACTTTCATTTTGCTTAATCAATTCAAAAAAATTAAAATAGTATCAGTCTAATTTTTATTTATTTTTAATATTAAATAATAATAATCAAATTTAAAATTACAAAATATAATTAATAAAGTTAATTTAGTAAAATACACCTCTAATAAAAAGTTTCTTAAAAATATATCATATCAATATGACCCAAATAATATAAATGTCACGACCCAAAAATGGACGTGATGGCACTCGTCTTAACCCACCAAGACAAGTCAGCCTAAAACTCAACCATTACAATAAAATGCGGAAATTTTTATAATAAACTCAAAAATACCCCCAAAATCTGGTTGTCACGTGTACAAGCCTCTAAAGTATTACAATTGAATCAAAAGAAAAATACAAGTCTCATATGACATTGTTTCTAGAGTAGAACAAGATCATAATCAGGAGTAAGAAGGATCGCTGAGAAGACAAACAACTACCTCACAAATCTCCCAGAAGCCTTGGAAAAGA